GCGGGGGGTCTGCTTCTCCCTCTGACCCTCTTCCCTCTCGTGCTCTCTGTCTCTCATTCTCTCTCTCAAATAAATAAATAAAATCTTTAAAAAAAAAAAAAACTAATTCTGTCCTATTTCCTTGGCTGAAAGTTCATATCCACAACTGTCTAGAGGAGAATTCCACTACCACTCAAATTTAGCATGTCCCAAACTGGATGTACATCTACCATCCCAGAAGGGCACATTCCTTACAGATGAATAAAGGGAGACATCCTTCCTGTGTACATCTAGGCAATCACCATTTTCATCCATTCAAGGACTTTCCAAGAGCCACCTTCTATCCTAGCAAATGAATTATCTTCACAGAAAATTCTTATTAGTTAAGTTTAATACTTTCCCTCTAATTTTCATTTCTATTCCATGCTTCTGAAACCTAAGTACTACTTTTTTTCTTATGATTTGTATCTTGGATTTCAAATAACACATATGCAGAATATAATCTAACTTTAAAAACTAATTGCTTTACATTTTATATTAACATTTTAAATTAGTTTTTAATTATAGAAGTTGTTAAGAAAAGAGGGGAGAAAGAAATGGGATAGTAGGATATAAGAAAAGTAAAAAAAGAATCTATTTATCCGCTAATTCCAGATTTAAAATATTTCCCAAAAAAATTTCATAGTTGAGCAAAAAAAAATTATCTGTCCTAGGAGAGCTTATATTTTAATAAAGAAAATAATTTACCAAAAAACCATACAAAGTGAAAGCACAGCTGTGATAAGTACTATGGTGGGTTATGGCTAAGAAAATCGATGAGGTAGGCAGGGAAGGTGTCCCTGAGGAAGTGAGGCTTTTAAGGGCATAAAACATGAGAAGGAATTGTAAGAAGAGGGACGACCAATCCAAGAAGAAGTAACATCACGTACAAAATCCCCTGTCATACTACTGAGTGATCTCACTTACATGTGGAATCTATAACCCATAGAAACAGTAAAATGGTGGATGCCAAGGGGTGGGGAAAATGGGAGATGCTGAGCCAAGGACACAAACTTGCAGTTATGAGACAAAAAAACTCTGGGGATCTAATGTGCAGCATGCAACTATAATTAATCAAACTGTATTATATACTCAAAAGTTGCTAAGAGAGTAGATCCTACATGTTCCCACCACAAAAAAAAGGTAATTATGTGAGGTGATGGATATTAAGGAACCGTACTGTGATCACCATTTTGCAATATATGTATGTTTCAAATCATCAAGTTGTAGGTACACTATAAAATAAACAAGTAGTTATTGGTGGGGGGAGGGAGGGCGGTCCTTTATTCATCCTATCCCCCTTCTTTATCTTCTACAACCAACACTCAGCAATCCAGACTTCTCTATTTGTAAATGCCTCTTGTAGCCCTTTCTTTCCATTGCCACCACCACCATCCTAATGCAAATCGTCACACTTTAGTACTTGGGTTCACATAAAGAGGCTCCGGTTGGTTTCCAAAAGAGCATTTCTTTCACTCTATTTCATCACTGGAATAAAGTTTCTTAAATTCTAAATATCATGCTCTTGCTTTAAAACTTTCAAACTAATCAAAAGGAATCATCGGGTAATGGTTCAAAGTTGAATAAAACACACTGATCTTCAGGTGACCCTGGTTCATTGAACCGATCCTATTCCAGGGTTATTTCTCAGTTGTGAAGAGTCAAAAAAAAAAAAACCAAAAAAACAATTAAGATAAGTAAAGCTCTTTCTTTACCACCATCCAATAAATAGAACATGAATAAATGAATGGATAAATAAATCTTCAAATACTTCTCCTACTAGCCGATCCCTGCTGAACTCTTCAAGCTCCTTCAAGCCACGCAGCCTCATGTCCCCCTGGCCCGGCTCACAGCCTCTCTGCTCTTGGGAGGCTGGGTCCCCGCCACCCACAAACCCAGAATGTACACTTCTGCTTCCGTTGGGCATTTCCTCTTGCCAAACATGTTCCTCCTTTTTCATCGCTTTACAGTATCTTCATTTCCTCTTTATCCTGGAAACCTCCTCCCTTTTCTTTGGCATGCCTACTCTAACTGTATTTCTAGCTATCATATAACTTAGTCCTCACTACCTACTAGGGCAATTTGTGGGTCAGTCCTGGTCCCTGCCCCCAGAATGCTTCCATTTCAATGGGGCTGACATATGCTAAATGCTTTGAGGTTCACCACGATGCTGAGAATACTTGCTGGTTAAATGCTTGCTGGTTAACGGCTCAATATACTTTCTGGGTGACCAGAAGATAATTATCTCTGAAATAAGCTTGTAACTGAAATATCTGGAATGTAATCAAGTACTTGACAACACTCTAATACATGAAAGAAATGTACAGATGTATATAATCCCAGTTCCGCAGAAAGAAAAAGGTGCTTCTATGTGCATACACAGAAAACGTTGCAACTGCTCAGGAAGTTAATAGTGATGACTTCCAGGTAATGAAATCGGAGGGCACACACTTTTCATTTTATATCCATTTATTCCACTTCAATTTCTTTAACATCAAATATTTAAGTTTTATCATAAAAAAACTAATACCAGTGTTAGAATGTAAAACAAATGATTCTGAAAATTAGATTTTATTTGATAGACCTCATTTGAAATTCAAGTCATATATTACAAAAAATAAAAGTTCCTACATTTCATAGAATGGAATAAAAACAAAACAGAGAGGGACAAGTGTAAAACTTGAATGGCTAGTACAGAAGTTGATCCACTTATTTTCAAATAGACTTTACCGAAGTCCATTTGTTACTATGCAACCCTTAAGACCTAGAACTCACTAAGTTCATTTCATCTAATTTAATGCAAGCTACAGTAAGATACACACATGGTAAAAACACAATAAGAGGTACTGTTACCTGATTATTAAAGCTGACACAGAGCTTGGAAAACCGAATGGGATGTGGACAGTCAGCCTTCAGATAGATATCAAACCGCACAGGAACATCAACATGAAAACTCGGGGCGTGAAACTTGGCTTTGCATTGTACTAGAAATAAAACAAAGAGAGTCACACACTACAGGACCCTCAAGACACACACCCATGATTCTCTGATCCACACTCACTCTTCAGGAAGGAAACATCTACCCTGGATAGTCTTACTGCATTCTGCCCTTAAAGCATTTCAACACACATAAATGCAGCTCATTTTCAAAAAAAAAAACAAAACAAATTTCAAGAAGTATAACTTCAAAACCACCTTTAATTCTAAAAACACAGTTGCTCCTGAAACGTAACTAACATAGGAGTTTAAAGGGAAAAAAATCATTTTGTTATTTTTAACTTATTTCAAAATACCTGTCTAGGCATTACAGAATAAGCTTTTTAAAAGACAGTCTTTTCACATGTATTTCAAATCACACTTAAACTACAAACGAACAAAGTAAATTTTAATACATAAGCTAAGGATTTAAAATTTTGAAAATCTTTCTAAGTCAATGGGGAGAAAGAAAAAAAATCACAATTTCATCTGCAGGATGACATATTTTGAACATTCTTTCTTTGACTTTTGTATTTACGGTTCCATGTCTGTTCATTTCGTAGCAAAAAGGATGATTTCTCTGAAATAACACTACAGGCGTTGGCTACCCACCGAATGGCACGAAGTCCTGCACCCCTATCGTGAAGACATTGCTGCCGGCCAGGGAGACTCGGTCCGACCACAGCTTCTGAGCCGTTTTCACGGCTAAGACATCACAGTCGGGTTCCGGATCAGGACTCTCATTCTGCACCAACACAGAGTACAGTTCCTTCAGCTAGTAATAAAAATACATAGATGCAGGTCTAGATATCCCCAGGGTGCATTTTATAGAAAGAACTCGACTTACCATCAGAACGTTTATGAGGTTCTTTTCGATCCGAGATTTCTGGTCATCTTTCAGAGTTGAAGCTAACATGAAGGAAGTAGGAAAAAAACTGTCACTGTAAGACGGGCCAGTAAAGTGACTACCCCCACGGAAGGTATTAAAATACTACAGAATAAATACCTCTTCTAAGACGGCTAAGCACAATTCCAGACAACGTACAACAACACAGCTTCCTACGTGAGCCCCAATGCTCTAGATACTCGCATTTGAACTTGATGGGAAAAATCATTTCATGACATATTTAAAAAAAAAAAAAAAAAGGAAGGAAGAAAAATTTTGTTCTTCTCAACTATAACGACACCTCGACTATAGTAAGTTCCATGAAAGTATGAGTCCCTTCACTTGGCAAACCAATCTACACAGGGTGAAATTACGGTCAAAGACTCGAGAATTATTCTTTCAGTTTTAAGAAGCTTAAAGATGCTACATAATTTTAAAGATTCGGAATTTTACTGAAAGAACACCAAGTTACCTCTTCCAAGGAGTTCTAGGGAGTAAGTAATGTAATCTTTTAATTGGGCCATGAGGTAAGAGCACTTCAGAGCTGTAGTCAATATGGACGTGAGCAGGGTCCACCATCCTTCACTCCGATAATCACACATCACGTAATCCAGCAACCTGACGGAAGGCAAGATGTCATCAGACACGCTCAAACAGCTTCACAAGAAAGGCCCTGAAGACTTCTTGGAGGAGATAACATGCTTGACTCATTTTATATACACGTCAGAAACACTTACTGAAATAGTTTAACAGGTAATTTCACGTTTAGCTAAACGTGGTTTCCTAAGACTTTGAGAACGACTGTACCAGCAGAGAGTACTTGAAAAAAATACCGCAGAAATGGAGTTTCATAGAAATAGAAATAAGTATGGAAATAATAAATCCTTCAAAACACATTTCTATTCTCATTTTGCTGTAAGATAATCAGATTACTTATAAAAATAAATGGGGAACAGGACTCACTTCAAAGCTTTGGTATAATCCTTTGCATAGTAATACTCCTCTCCCATTTGAACCACTGTAAAGGGAAAAAGATCTTATGTACATAATTCTAAATTATTCAAAGTTGCATGAAACTGTGGCATATTATGAATACATACTTAGATGACTTTTCATTCTTGGACATTTATACTTCTTAAATTGTGCAACAGCATTGCTCAGAAGAGTTATTATTATTTCCTGTTAGATGAGAGAAAGTGTGAAACATTCCAATAAAAATAATCTCAGGTATTCCTTGAATACTGCAAAAAATAGTTTCTATTGGGGGAAAAAAACAACAACAAACTTACAGAGTGAACAACACTTCTCTCCTTCAGCTGAATGGCAAGAATTCCCACCTTCTCTTTTTCAGGATCAGAAAGATCAAAACCTGTGTAAGATAAGACACAACCCATTTTAGATAGCTCATTTAACATAATCCTTCACATGAACATTGGATGTGTACACTCCTTGAATCCTTTACTTAAATATAATGTATTTCAGATTCTTAAACATTCTAGAATTTTAAAGATTCTAAGAGACTGCTTTATTGGCATGGCAACTTCTCTGTGATCTCTGTTCTGAAGAGAACATTATTGAACTCAGCATTCTCTTGCCTAGTGGCATCAACCACCTGAAGAATAATACCAACCTCATTCTCAATATAGAATATACTTTCTGGAAATTAAAGTAAATAATTTCTTAACAATTAAGGTTTGATTGTCACAGAAATTGCTGAAATTAAGTGTTTATCAAACCCAAAAAAGATGTAGAGAAATTTCTAAGGTGATACAAGTTAATACTGTTTTAAAAGATCTAACATAATAAATTGTCAAAGTTAACCAGAATTAAAATATTTAAATAGACCAAAGTGGTTGGTTAATTGTGTCATTTAAGACAAGAGATGTCCAAATGTTTTAATCACACTCATGTTTAATTACAAGTTATTCTAAGATGTAGTGATACAAACAAAACATCCTAAAAACTAAACAACTGCGGAATCTTTAAAAAGATGTTTAGTGGTGCCTGGGTGGTTCAGTCGTTAAGTGTCTGCCTTCGGCTCAGGTCATGATCCCGGGGTCCTGGGATCGAGCCTCACATCAGGCTCCCTGCTCCGCGGGAAGCCTGCTTCTCCTTCTCCCACTCCCCCTGCTTGTGTTCCCTTTCTGGCTGTCTCTCTCTCTGTCAAATAAATAAAATCTTAAAAAAAAAAAAAATTAAAATTAATTAATTAATTAAAAAATAAAAAGATGTTTAAAAAACACACATTTTTACCTCAACATAATTTGTTACAGCCTATGTAGCCAATGGAAAAACTGTGATAGCAATCTGTGCCTTCTGAGGTTGAGAGAAAAGGGAGGAGGGAAAAATTATTTACTTAGTATTCCTTGTCGCCATGATCTTTGTCCATAAAAGTCAAGAACGCCTGTTTGTGTTTCTAATGGATCAGGATTGGGGTATGTTACAGAAGCCTGTAAAATAAAACATAGCCCTAAATAAGAGTTTATGAACCTATCACAAACCAACTCACCTTCAAACTTTGACAGAATAAAAATATTTTCATAAATACACATACTAAACATATGTCCAGATATCAAAGTTGTGAACATTTTAACGTACATTAAATTTTCACAAACATGAAAAAAAGTTCCATTTAATACCTAGGCAGTTTCACAAAAATTAAACTGAATAAATCAACCTGATTCTGACAAATGATTTCATAGTAACTAACGCCTTAATTTTCTTTTCATCTTTGCTATAATAAACCAGTAAAAATGTTGACAATTATGTTTGATGTTTATTCCAAATGTGTAAGTGCTTTTTGTGCAAATGAAAATAATGTGATAAGGAGTTTTAAAAAGAAGACACTATTTTCCTTCTTTATCACTTGTGTATTAAGTCCTGGTATTCGTTGGGGAGGGATATTTTTGGCACCAGAATTTATAAATTTACACTGCTTTATTTTTCTTTCTCATCATTTTTCCATCTGAAACCAAAATATAATGCAAGTACATTGTTGAGAAATACAGAAAACATCCAAAAGGAAAAGGACAAAAATTTAAATCACCTATAAATCTATTACCACTATTAACAGTGTATACATTAGGCTTCCAGATTTTCTATGCAAATATTTGTTGCCAATCAGAATAATTTTTCAACCTGCTTTTTTCATTTAAATATATTCTGTAAATTTCACATCATTAAATATTCTTCTGAAACATTATTTGTCATGGCTGCCTGCTGTCCCACATTTTAACAAATTCCCTATGTTGTTCATCGTGTTATTTATTTTTTACTTTACGATTAATAAGTCTGCCTTAAGAACTTTATAAGTAAATCTTAGTACTTCTCCCTTAGGATCTCTTATCTGCCTGAGACTTCCTGAAAACAGAATTCTGGGTCCAAAGATATGCATGATTTTGAGGCTTCTCAAATTATTATTTGACAGAAATATTATTTTACACTCCAACTAAGGATATTTGTTAATCCCATTTCCTTATATTCTTATAAAACATAGTTTTAATCACCTTTTAAAATACTGTGCTCAAATTTTAATATGCTTAATTTTTAAATACAAAACATGCAATGAAGTTATAAATCATACACAAGTAACGTGGTAGAAAACAGTGTAGTTATATCATGATTTAAGGAAAAAAAAATCCAACCTTTTAAGTACTAACATGCAAACTGTTTTTGGAACCGTTTTTCAAGTAGCACTGTTGATAATGTTCACCTGTCTTCAGAGAAGAAAACTGCAGATTTTAAAGGAAAATAAACTGACAGAACTGTACAAATGTAAATGTATTTATACATATACATACCACGTTCTTTAAATTTTAAAGGTGCTTATGGGGAAACTGGTATCTAACTATAATCACCCACGAGGAAGGCAAAATGAAATGTCAAGTTAAGAAACTGCAATTAACATTATGCCTCGAACAGATCCTTAAGAATTTTCCACAGAGGAAAACCCCAGGAAGAAAAAGAAGTCCGAAGTTATCCTCTCTGGTGGGTCAAAAGAAAGCATATTCCTCCAAAGTCCTTCAAACTCCTATGGCAGTGATCAACAGGATTAACAGCATGGCTCAGACTAAACTGTGACTTTTATTTTAAAGTAATTTGCCCTTGTCTTATTGCCAATCATAAGTCAGTTCTTCACAGAAAAACTTCTGCTTAATCCACAGGTGGAAATGCAGTACTCAGGCTAAAACTGAAAATAACCGTAACTCCTGAAAATACAGAAGATAAAAACTGATTCTATTCAAAGGCTTGGAAAAAAATTATGAACATTAATTAGTCTGATCTTCTTTTGAGAGAAGATTAATACATTTCCTAAGCACCAGATAATACTGGAGTCGGTAACTTACGTCATGGCTACAGAGGGTTTTTGCAAGCTGCTTCCGCTCCTGGGCATAGTATGCTGCCTGCTGGTAATAGAAACCAGGATTCTGAGTCTGAATAGCTGTCAACCCTAACTTAATAGCTTCATCAAATAAATCTCCAAAGGCCTGGAATCTTAAAGAAAAAAAAAATCAAGAAATAAAAAAAGGTTGAAAAAGAAAAAGGAAAGAAAAAGAAGCTTACTTCTAATAATTATTCATCCTGGAAACATAACCTCAGCAGACTGTGTTAAAATAATGCTACTGATGAACTGTAAATTGTTGGGTTTCTTGGTAAATACTACACACACTAATCACGGGTTACAGATAACTTCTGCATTGAAGTCGACTCTTCTGTACTGACAAAGCGTTACAAATACACCATCAAAGTGTATGTCAACACAGTTCCCACTCCTCAAATACATCCATGCTTCTGGAAACAATTTCATTTTAGAATTTTTAAACATCAGTCTTGAATAGCAAGTACCATGCCAGCAGGGATTTTGTTTTATTCCTGGCTATATTCTCAGTACCTAGGCACATGGAGGAAACTCCATAAATACACGCTGAATAAAAGAGATGGTACCATGAATTAAGTGATTTCCATTAAGGAACTCTATGAATCAATATCTAGCATTGCTGGAAACACACCCTATGCTAGCTAGATCTCTAAAAGCCTACTTACTGACAAAAAGCTTAGCTCAATTGAGAGCCAAAGTCCATGCTAATTCCATTCCTCCAAACCCCAAGTACTTAAGAAAAAAAATTCTAGAAGTATAATTTAAAACATACTGTTTAGACATCCATGCAGCATGCTCAAAAGATAACTCTGCACTTCCGATTTTTTTCTTACACAAGTCAATGTGTTTTCGGAACTGAGCAATTGCATCCAATGGGGTGTTGTGCTGAAAACACAGCCTACAGATCTGCAAAATGTAAAATCAACCCCAAAATAAAGAAGAAAAGAGAGTCAAAAGGCATATTCATTTAAAAATATGTAAAATGTGAGACTAACTTTAAAAAGACTATGACATTTCCTCTCTTAAATTCTTGGTAATAGGATGGATTTTCTCTACTATAATGGCTATGCTAAAATCAGCGGTTATATCCCCTGGATAAAGGAAATAAATTTATCCATATCTGTACTGAGTCTACTGTATACCTAGAAAAGCTTATTCAAAGTATAGAATAGAATACAAAAAATTATACCCAATGAAGAATGTAAGGATGGACGAAAATAAAATACTACTTCCTCCAGGACAGATTAATGTTGTTTTAGAATTGGCAGAAAGCTAAAGATTTTCTGTACCACCATTACAGCATAGTGGCCTCCATATCATTCTTGAAAACTTTTTATCTGGAATGCTATCTCAAAAACAGTAATCATCTACATCTACGTAAGTAAAAGGACAAACAGAAGAAACGAAGCCTAAATTTATATCCATATGCTATCATCAGTTTTATATTTTAGGTACAAGGAATACATGAAAAGTTAAGTCTCTCATCCATCCCAATTTCCTGTTCCAGAGGCAACCAGCTCCCAGCATGTTCCATGATACAGTCTATGCACGGACAAGTGTATGTGCATTTATAGATCAACTATACTTTTTAAACAAAGAGCATCACACTAAATATGCTGTTTTGTACCTTACTTTTTCACCTAATATTCCATATCAATAAGTAGAGCTGTCTCATTCTTAATGGTTGTAGAATATTCCATTGTCTGGGGTTATACTTTATATTAACCAGTCACTTATTGCTGGGTTGTTCCCAATCCTCTCCTATTACAAGATGCAATAAATATCCGTATGTATGTGATTTGCAAGTCTTGGCACATGTATCAGATAAATTTCCTGAAATGGAATTGCCAGATCAAAGGGAACACCCACTCTAAATGTGTACGGTCATCACAAAAATATTCTCTACAGATGTTGTACCTATTTACGTTTACACAGTGAATCCCCGTGTCTATGTGCCCTCAGGCCACCATCCCAGTGCCAGCCATCTTTAAAAGATGAGTGTGGAAAGATTAAAAGCAAAACAAAAAGCCCCACCTGCCTTCTGGGGGCATCTATTTCTACCATGTACAATCTTCAAATGCTTAACTAACAGGTATGAAAGTTTCCTCTCAGGTGATCAGCTACACATTTTGCATGATGGTGCCATTAAACCAATGAAGGCCTGCACTGTTCTGATTTGTTGCATCTTATAAAATTCAGTAACACAAGCAGCTTTCTTCTCACTCTCTCCTGCTCCCACTTAAAAACAGAAGACCCTCCTAAAGGAGTTTTACAAAAGTAAAACTGCTCTAAGAGAGAACTCTGAGACCCATGAACTCAAAACGAAGCATTACAATTAGGCTGCTAAGAACCAGGGTGCTATTTGAAATAAGGGATATAAAGGAGGAGAACATAATTAATCAAATATTTTTCAGAGCAAGTAACTAACTTTGGTTTTCAATTTTAAAAAGATAATCTAATATTTAAAGATGAGTTTCCTTTATTTGAAGTAGAACCATTACCTTGTAGTTTATAAATCCTGCCATAGTCTTTATTTCCAGAATATTAGTTTCATGGGCTCGCAATTCATGTACAAGATTATAGGCGGTCCTATAATTCCTAATATAAACATGTGGAACATGGTTAATTATTAATTTTAAGAAAAGATTCCCCAGAACAAATTATTAGAAATAAGAGACAATATTTAGTCAACATTTCTCAGCACTCAACAGCTCAGGAGTAACTTACACACTTCGATCTCTGATTTCCTGAGAAATGATCTATTGATTAATAATATGTGGGAGGAATCAATGACGTTTCACTGAGAACAGAACCATCACACGTACGTTGTTCTGTGGCTAACATCTGCCGATAACAGACAGAAAATAAGTTGAAAATGGAAGTGGACAATTGTCCAGAATTACGTTAAAAAGTTAGCATTCTGTCTAAAAAAAAAAGCTTTTTTAAAAGCACCATTATGAGCTTCTCCAACAAACAGAAATTGTATTAGCGAAGAAGGTGCTATCAAGACCGAGCACAGGTCAACGGCTTTTAAGGTCCAGTACCCCTGCAAGTTCAGAGGACACTGCTGATCTCTGGCATGGGCTGGAGACGGGGGAGTGGGGTGGGAAAGGAGAGCCTGCTAGAAGGAGGCCTACCCTGAGGAGGGAAGGCAATGAGGAAATCTCAGTCTCCTCCAAAGATAACTCCTTGCTCCCAACTTCCTCAGGTAAAATTTTTCTTTCCAGAATTATTTTTGAGCAGAACTAGAAGTGAAGGTTTTTAACTAATACCATGGGTAAGGAACGAACTATGTTAAAGCCAGTTATAATCACATGGAGTCACTGAGATTGAGAGAACATAATCTGGTGTTCACCACCTCCACGATAACAAAAGAGGAAGACGTTTCTGCAATATTCCTCTGAACAACAGATTTATTTTTATTTTTTTTTCTTATTTTTCTGCCCTGTACGCTTAGCCTCTCTTCAGTTTTAGGATAGACCGCTGTTTTTTTATCTCTATCTTTTACTGCCACTGTCAATCTTCAAAAAATTGAGTGAAAGCTAGAAAAAAATGTTTAATTAAATTGTGCTCGTAAGTAAAAGCAAAGGAATAAAATGCGTGACCACTGCCAACACACATACAACTACTCTTCAAAGCTTCTAAGGAGAGCCTTCGTAGTAAAAATGAGGCTGAGCGCTATTATAAATTTAAACAAATTTTTTTTAATTAAAAATAAAATCATAATTGAATTAAATAAATGCTCTATGCAGATTAAGAAATTCATACCATTAGACAAGATAATGTTTAATATACACTTAACTATGGAAATCAGTCAACACAAAAATTTCACTGAATATACAAATAGTCAACAGGATGAGAAGAATTTTAATATGTTTCTTTAGATCATGAAATTTAATTAAATTAGACCAGAAAACTTTATGACTATGAAATTTACTTCTGATAAAATGAAAAATTTTTTTAAATCTCAAAAATATTATATTCCATTCATCTCTAAACAAATTAAATATTACATACCTGAGTCTAACCAACATAAGCATTTTAAAATTAAAGTTTGGTTGAGATTCAGAAGTTGCCTTTAATATGTTACTGTTAACACAAAAGTAAGAAAAATTTAGTTTGACAACTGTTAAAAACTTACTTCAGAGCATTTTGTGTATCTTGTTTCAATTCACTGAAGAAAGCTATTTTGAACTGATGTCTAACAAATAAAAGCTGAAAAAAAGAATAGAAAAAAGTTATCATTATTACACACATTCTCTTAAAATGTAAAAATTAGGATAACATTAAGAGGAGACATCAAAGTACAAAGGAAAACACTCAAAATTAAAGACCAAGAATTATTCCAACAAGCATTGCTAAGGAAGCTAAAAAATCTAGAAGAACTTTAAGGGCAAAAAGTAGAGAAACAAACTAGTTTTTAAAAAGCTTAAAAAAAAAAACTTCAAAAGCATAGAAGCCAATTAAAAACATCAAAGCATTACAGATATTTAATAATCTCTTTGAAAATAACCAATGATAATAATCTGCTCTTAGAATGCTTCTATTATTTCCTTCTTTAGGAAAAATAATTTACCTGGTGTGTTGTTTTATTCAAAAATTCTTTATGAGATTTCACTCTTCTGATCTCAGTGTAGTAATAAGTCTGTGCATGTTCATAAAAGGCATTTTCTAATCTGTTTAAAAAAAAAAAATCAACATTCAAACACTAAAGTTATTTTAAACCAAACTGTTCTCAAGAATCACCTTTGTAAGACCTGGAAGTAAAATCCTGACAGAGATGATGTCTAGCTTACTTCATGGTAAAGACAAAAAGTAAAGCAAAATATACTAAATTTCTAAATAAAAAATGTACTAGATAAGACCCCAAAAGCCATTTTGATTTATTTACAGTCTAAGAAATAACTAATAAAAATAACTTTTTTGTAATTTGTAGACATTAGGTGTTCTCTAAGATTACTTCCACCCCTTTCATTTTATAAGAAGTGTGAAAGAAAAAGATTTCCAATATTCACTTAATTTGACTATTTTTTGTGCTATTAATATTTAAGGTTAGAGGATAAGAAAGCTAATGGAAAAAGCACCAAAAATAAAAACTAGCAAATGAGGGGCGCCTGAGTAACTCAGATGGTTAAGCATCTGCCTTCAGCTCAGGTCATGATCCCAGGATCCTGGGATCGAGCCCCGTGTCTGGCTCCCTGCTCAGCAGGGAGTCTGCTTCTCCCTCTCCCACCGCCCCCCCACCACTTGTGCTCTCTCTCTATCAAGGAAATAAATAAAATCTTTAAAAAAAAAAAAATACTGGCAAGTGAGAGGAAAGTAGCATTTATAGGATTCAAATCCTGCTTCACTCCCTAACTTTGAGATAACATAGGAACAAAGAAAATTTGACCACAGATAGATAGACAACTCAAAGCTCCTTTTGTGAAAATAAGTATGTATTACAAATATCTGCCTGGGGCATGAAAGAAAGCTAAATTCATAGTTAGATAAGGCTGGACTTCAAGGTTTTTCCTCCTCAGAATAAAACAGAATTTTGAAACTATATTCAAAGAGTTTAGACATATCTAAGGAAATGCTAAGAAATAAAATGGAGGGGCACCTGGGTGGCTCAGTCGTTAAGCGTCTGCCTTCGGCTCAGGTCATGATCCCAGAGTCCTGGGATCGAGCCCCACATTGGGCTCCCTGCTCGGCGGGAGGCCTGCTTCTCCCTCTCCCACTCCCCCTGCTTGTGTTCCCTCTCTCACTGTGTCTCTCTCTGTGAAATAAATAAATAAAATCTTAAAAAAAAATGGATAAGCCAAAAACTTTAAATATTTGATATACTTCCTAAGGTAAGATTTTCTATTTTTATTTTTTTTAAGATTTTATTTATTTATTTGAGAGAGTGAGAGACAGACAGAGAGAGAGCACAGGAGCGGGGGCAGAGGGAGAAGGAGTGGGAGAAACAGACTCCTGCTGAGCAGGGAGCCCGACATGGGGCTCGATCCCAGGACACCTGAGCCGAAGATAGACACTCAACCGACTGAGCCACCCAGGTGCCCCAAGATTTTCTATTTTTAAAACTACAGTTTTTAAAATGTTAAAACATGAAAATAATTAAAATTAGGTGCTAACTTTGAACCATACACTGTTTGAAAGAATATATTAACCTAAGCTGAACTATAAAGTTTTATAAATGGGTGACCTTTGTTCTGAAAGGCAAAATATGATACTAAAAAAAAAAAAAATCTGCTGGTTAGCACGACACTGATAGTCTATTGCCCTAAGAAGAAAGGTCTGGGGATTTGGAACACAGATTTTTAAAAAAGAAAAATCCTTAACTCATCACAAATTTGACAATTCTTTTAAAAGTATTTTGACTCAAAATGATCAGTGAACCTCTAAAGCACAAAAGATTCTCACAATCACTCAACACAACACACAGAAGTTTTATACACATTCTATTGCTTTGATACTTAAAGAAAAATTAACTAAATCACTGACGTCTTGTAGCCTGTAAACTAAATACATCAAAATGTTCTGAAAGCACACGAATGAGTGAGGGTGCCACCAGCAACTCTGCTAATTCCCCCCGAGGTCAGACACTGAATGTGAAGATTTACTGATATTCAGCTTTACCCTCTCTCTTAAGATAAAACGCAAATAGGAAGAAAGGGTCTAATACTGTCTTCCCTCATCTCCTGTGGACTGTCTCACCCCTGGTGCTCACATCCAGAGTTTGGAGGTCCTAGGTCCAGAGCACTTGCTTTTTACATCAGCCATTTTGACACTGTACTCCTTATTTAAATGTGGCATTATTCCCAGGAAGGGCAGAAGCCACAATTCCTGCTTCCCTTAGCTGAAGAGGACCTTAAGGCAGGGTTTCTCAACGTCAACCCCACGGGTGTTTCTTTGTTGTGTGGGGCTTTCCTGTGCCTGGAAGGATAGAGAGCAGCATCCCTGAACTCTCCCCAAAAGATGCCAGTATTGGGAAGGACGTCTCCACGGCGGCCATGATAAATGTCTCCGGCATTACCCAGTGCTCCCTGGAGGCCCAAGTCACCACAGTTAAGAATCACTGGATTCAGGGACTGGATGGAGGACAATGGCTAAAAAGAAGGCTGCATATGAACTCAGCCTTAAAAGTTGAGCCAGAGAGCCCAGAAAGGGGAGCTGGAAGGAAAGCACACTGACAGGAAGCCACACCATGAATGGGGAAATGATGCAGCGCAAAATCAAGGGCCTCAAGAGGTGGTCAAAGGCCGGCTCCACAGTCAGCATGGAGTCTGCTTGTCCCTCTCCCTCTGCTCTCACTCTCTCTTTCTCTCGGATGAATGAATAAATGAATAAAATCTTAAAAAAAATAAACTTCTTCTCTGCAACACTAAATGCTAAAAAACAAGGGACTGTGGTCACATATTTTGTGAGATATGGTTGTGTCCCAAGTCAGATGCCTTTCATATATAAGGGCTTTATAAAGATATTTAAGATACGGTCGGCCTCAGACCCTTCTTAAAAATTACTTAAATAATACATCACCCTATCGAAAATGAAGCAATGAAGGCCAGAAATGAAGACACTATCATATGAAAGGACAAACAGGTCATGAAAGGACATATGGTGCTTACTGAAAAATACAATGGAAAAACAGGTAAATATTTTTTTTAAAAATGGAAGCTGACTTAGATATATATTTGGTGTCAATGAGGTAATGCTATGTGGCAGTTCAGCATGTGTTGTATGATTACATCCATTTTTACATTAAAAGAAATATTTGGACAGAAACTTAAGAAATTATTTATAGTGGTTCCAATAAGGGACTGGAGAAGGTTAAGGAGCTGAAAAGGGGGCCTTGTGTTTTCACCTCCTAGTCTCTATACCCTTTGAATTTTTTCCCATGAACATGTATTTTTTTAATTAAATGAGTCTAAGCAACCAATTTTCTAGTGCCTCTGAATAATCTAAAGAAAAAAAATGTTTAAGATCTTTATTTACCTTATAATATAACCCACCAGGTGGTCAGTATGGGGCAGTACAAACAAAGATTTTCCTGAGAGTTCACAGGCATTACATAAAGCTGCGGCTCTTTCTGATGCGGTAACATCTTCTCCTGTTGACAAATCCCATAAAGGTGCAGAGAGAAATAAAATGATTTATGTATTTTTCTAAATGAATGGTTCCCCAAATCTAAACAATATAATTAGGAAGAAAAACCAAACCCCCTTTCACCATGTCAGCAGAAGGCCTCCTGGGATCCTTGAGGGGTCTGGTGGGGGGGGGGAGGGGGCAGTTCTCAGAAGTCCCACAGTACGTATCTGTTAGGAAAACCCTGTGGAATTTTCTACTGAGCCAAGATAGACAGGCCAAGTAATGCCAACAGATATGCCACATAACTGTTTCAAAACTGTAACTAAAAACAGAAGCAATAATCCAGTGGTTTCTAAAACTCGGATCCCACTAGTTTCTAAAGAGAAAAAAAAAACATTTTGGCCTCTCAAAGTCTTAGAATGTAGGAGAAATAAGCATTTGAAGCTAAGACATTTTCTTATAAGAAACTAGAAATCCTATTGCACTTCTCTTTGTCCTATAGCAAATTAAGAAAAAAAAATCACAGAAAGCATTTCAAACTGACTTCAGATAAGTAAATAACATTCTTTTTTAAAAAATCAAGTGATGAGGGGCGCCTGGGTGGCTCAGATGGTTAAGCGTCTGCCTTTGGCTCGCTCAGGTCATGATGCCAGGGTCCTGGGATCGAGCCCCGCATCGGGCTCCCTGCTCCTTGGGAGCCTGCTTCTCCCTCTGCCTCTCTCTCTGTCTCTCATGATTTAAAAAAAAAAAAAAAAAATCAAGTGATGAAATGTTTTGTCAATTGATGTATGCCTATATAGTGAGGTAAGTGGAACTGGGGGGGAAGAGTATTTTAATATTAATTTTTATTAATATTTTAATTTTAGCACTTTATTTTTTACGATAGGCACTTATTCATGCATTATCAGTACTTTTTAAAGTGAACACACCATCTTTCCTATAATTGAATGCATAAAAGATTTTAACATCAAAAACTATACCTCCTGATAATAAGAATGAGAAGTATAAAGCAATTAATTCATTATCAATTAACCTTGTGATACCTGGTGGCAAAGGAGTTTTCTTCTGAATCAGAACCACTGCAACTTTTGTGTTTCTCCCTTGCAAACTTTGCCTGCAATGGAAAAATAATAAAATTAATTAAATATACCTAAACTGTTTTGACTTTTAAAAAATGTATTCAAGACTCTACACAGGGGCACCTGGGTGGCCGAGTGAGTTAAGCACCTGCCTTTAGCTCAGGTCATGATATCGGGGTCTTGTGATTGAGCCCCACGTTGGGCTCCCTGCTCTGTGGGGAGTCAGCTTCTCCCTCTCCCTCTGTCCCCCCCACCTCCGCTCGTGCTAACAGATGAATAAAATCTTTAAAAGAAAAAAAAAGAATTTACATAAAGTACAAGTTTGATGATTCAACTGAAGAAAGAAAAATTTCAACTAAAAACCCCCAAGATTAGAGGAAATCTTCCTGCATCCAAAGAAACTTGTATGCTACAGTGATTTCAGTTTTAAAAGTATACTCTCATATCAAGCTTCTAATCCTGACAAAAATCTGCTTTAAATATATAATTTCATGTAGAAGTTATAGGGCAACTTATTTCTTGATGGTGATACGTTACATACTGGTCATCCAAAAGAATTATTTTGCAACCGGAATGGTGATAAAACAAGTGTCTTATGAGACTAAATAGCAAATTACTATACTTCTCCCCCAATTTATAAAGGCAAGGAAAAAAACCATTTGGAAATTCAGACTAATGTGTCTTCTACATTTCTTCACACACCTTAGCACTGTAGAAGTTAAGCATTCACGTTAAGCTACCTGTCGGGAACCAGACAAGTGTCACTGGAGGTCGGCAATCCCCGAATGAGCGCTGCAGTCTCAACAGCACTTGGCTGCCTTGAATAAACGTCGGGAAATTGTACAACCTCCCGTGGTCCATCCGATACACGGAGAAGACTGTACCTGACGATTTCCACTCTGGTAGCGCACTCGGACTGCTTTTCTTTCCACTGGGGCTCATCCCAGTCCAGTTCATAGAACACAACCACCAGGGCCGGCACCAGATTCAGATGTTTATTCATCCAGCCAGTCTTCAAGATCCCCTTAGGAATGTACCATTCATAGGAAGTTCTCTGCGAACATTGGCAAAAGCAGAAGACACTGATTTGGTAACAGCAGAAGCCACCTGTTACTGAGTGGGACGCACTTCCTGTGCATTCATCTCATTCCACATACACACGACACATTTTTAAGATGAGGAAATTCAGGCCTACAGAGATCACACAAGAGCTAACAAGTATTGGAGACAGAATCACAACAGTGAGTCTGCTACAGTTTCCATTGAAAGAATAACCGGGGGCGCCTGGGGGGCTCAGTCGGTTAAGCAGTTAAGCGTCTGCCTTCAGCTCAGGTCATGATCCCCCGGTCCTGGGATCGAGCCCTGTGTCAGGCTCCCAGCTCAGCAGGGAGCCTGCTTCTCCCTCTGCCTCTGCCTCTCCCCCTGCTTGTGCTCTCTCTGTCTCTCTCTCAAATGAATAAAATCTTTAAAAAGAAAAAGGAAAGAATAATCAAAGCCAAAGCACTTCTAATAATGTCCAGGCTCTCAAATATCCTGGAAATCATTAGCCCCTTTCCAGGTGAATTCTATTCCTCACCATTCCAGTTTCCGTTCTTGTCAAAGCAGCTCAAATAAAATATGATCTAAAACCCAATATGGCTTCATTTGTTTCAAAGACACGTTGCCATGGCATTTTACCTTACTTGTGGATGGAGGAAAAAAATGAAGGACAACTCTTAAGTACAGAAGTGCGGTAGCAGTCACTCGGGGGTCAGCACTAAGTGGCTAAGTGCCACACCGTGGGAGGGACAGGGGTTGGTGTGAATGTTAGCCCTGAAGAAACTTGCTGAAACCTCAAATCGCTTCCAAAGCGCCGGTCCCAACTCAGACTACTCCCAACAGTCTCTTCAAGTGAGGAAAGACAATAAGGACGGTAAGGCAATCAGACACAAAAAACTCAGGGACTCAGGAAAGAATAAGGAATGGGCACATGAAGAGCTCCCGCGCTGCAGAATGGATCCAGGACAAAAGGCGGAGGGCTGTGCTGGGCACTGGACCTCCTAGACACAACCTCCACACTAAGAACAAACACGTAACGGCCAGGGTACTCTCCCTTGCACAGTTCCAGAGAGAGCATGCAGCTTTGACAACCAGGGATATGAAACCACATCTCTACTGGTCTGCCCCACATGAGCAGAAGGATCAGCCAGCCACCAAATCCACAGGTCCTACCCTTCCAGAGTTTCACTGAGAAGGCCTTGCGTTTACATTTTTCATAAACATCACCAGTGATGATGATATCCTTGGTCCAAAGACCGGTCTGTCAGAAACATTGCTCCAGGGCAAAAAATAAAAATAAAATAAAAAAAAAGAGCAGGTGGCCTATTCTGATCAGTGTGTCTTGTTAACCGACTTTCAGACCAACTCATAAGATTATGATAAACAACAAATCAATATACATGATTTTCTTTAAAAAGCAAAGTAAGCACTTTTTATTTATTAGCTGCTATTATTAACATCATTCTCTGATTTTTGTAGGTAAATCCGTCTCTTCTATGTTCAACCTAAAAGTCAGTTTTGAACTTTCCTCCCTCCACACTAAATAAACTGTTTTAGTTTATGTACAACTCCCCAGGGACAGAGAGCTTGTCTTATTTAAATTTCTATCACCAGCCTATTGCATACTTCCTAGTACCTAACCCAAAAAACCAAGTGCTCAAAAGGTATGTGGGAAATTGAACCAAACTGCAAAGACCCTGGATTCTATAATGATACTGGGTAATGATAAATGGGGAATGTGAGACCTTCCCTTTACTTCTTTTTTCTTTTATTTATTTATTTGACAGAGAGAGACACAGCAAGAGAGGGAACACAAGTGGGGGGAGTGGCAGAGGGAGAAGCAGGCTTCCCGCCCAACAGGGAGCCCGATGCGGGGCTCGATCCCAGCACCCTGGGATCATGACCTGAGCCAAACGCAGATGCTTAACAACTGAGCCACCCAGGCGCCCTGAGACTTCCTTTTAGAGAGGGCTTTAAGCAAATGCAAAAAAAGAAAACCCAGGATAGAAAGCTTAATAATTATAAAGTAATTATTCCTCTGGGGTTAAAAAAAAAATAGCTATCATTAAACATACCTATAGTGTATTACATACATGAAAAAGTCTTGGGTTTTCTTAAAGCATCACTATAACCATGGCTTTGATAAACTCAGGGGTTTTCCAGCACAGACATTAGGAACAAAAAAGGTATACACGCATAAAGAGGAAGAGAGGGAGAGAAGGAAAAGGCCCCATGCAATCATGTTATTACCTTAGGCCTACATTTGGGATACTCATGGTCACCTGGGAGCACCTTGAAAGATATTGGTACCCGATCAGCCCTCCGATTGGCACAGAAAGCGTCCCAGACAGCTCGATGGACAGCATTATAAACTACATCCAGGCCCGTAAGGGTAACAAAAGCCATAGGCCGACAACATAATTCCACAGGGAAGTCCCACTGTGTGGGGCTCATGTTCAAGGTGTCAGGAAAAATCTGAAATACAAATGTAAATACATTCAAAATGTCTTAAAAGCCCATATCCATATCTCATCTATGAGCCTCCACCATTTATAAAACATTACAAAAAGGCAAGAGACTGAATCTTTTCGAGTGTCTGCAGGAAGGTGATCAAATTAAAATAGGTCTCATGACTCATTTCTGACATAAAGAAAAATAACTGCTGACTTACATATAATAAATACAACTATCTAATTTCTTCGTAATTGCTAACATCTAATTTCTGAATTCCTGGGAAATTATTAAAATAATATACTACTTATTTAAATAGCTATGATTTCTCACTTCTCCATAATTAATGTAAAGTGTATTATTTAAAGGAAAATCTAGAAGAGATAAACTAACAATGAAAATGTCTAGGAGGTAGTTTCCACTGTGTCCTTCAGCTGACAATCAATCTATAATAAATCCTACCACACACTAATTATAGAAAAGCAATTATATAAAACTGTGTTTATTCCAAAGAAAACTGCCATTATATTTTAAAGACCATTTCTCATTTCCAAAATCATGTATCAAGAGTTCCTTTTCAAAGGTGATCTTCACCAGTATATCTTACAGACCTCAAATGCAATTTTTGTGAAAAGTGAAAAGCACTGTACCACTACTTGATAACCAAATATTTTTAGCTGAAAAGTTAATTTAAAAAAGACCATTAGGCTTCTCACACTTAAGTACCAAAAGAATAATGGGTATTGAATAAATGATTTGGAAAGCTTACCAGAAATGATAAATTTCTATAAGACATAGAAGTTTTAGAATTATTTAAGCAGATATTTTCCAGACAGGATTAAGCTATGAGGGCAAAGGATCACCAGTTCAGAGAAAGAAAAACTCTAGTTCTAGGGAATTTGGGGTTGAAAATTAAGAAGAGATGGTCAAAACACATTATACAGGGGCCTTTGCTTTATACCAAAGAATCTAGATTAGAGCCCTAAAGGTCCATTTCTTCATTTAAAAACCCCAGAGGCTCATGAGAATTAGCTGTGGTCTTTGAATATGGAGTGGAAATAAGGGATCTAAAAATGACTTACAAAGCTTTAAATCACAGTGCTGTCCAAAAGAAATATAATATGAGCCACATAATTTAAAATTTTCTAGTCATATTAAAAATTAAAAACAGGTGGAATTTTAATATTCTATTTAACCAATATGTCCAAAATGTTAATACTTCGACACAAATATAAGTTACTGAGATATTTCACTTTTCTGTATCAAGTCTTCATTATCTGATGTGCATTGTACACTCACAGCACATCTCAATTCAGGCTAGCCAATTTCACACGCTCAACAGCCACATATGGCTACTGGCTATCATAATGGACAGCCCAGCTTAAATTATTGTTATTCTGTCCCCAAAAATTAACGTATGAAAACTGTATCAGAAATTCTTGCCACATACTATTAAAAGCTTTTGGCACCTGAGACAGTACTGCTTATTCTACAGCAAAGGGATGGGAATGGGAAACACACCGGCAAAGGACAGGTGCAGAGGTTGTGTGGATCTTAATGACAGTCTGTAGAAATTTCCAGATCTCCTAGAAGCCAATGAAGCAACTAACAAAGTATGACATGCAAGGAGGTGCAAAAGTCATAAGTGAACACGCTGGAAGGGAGATCATGTAACGCAAGGGGAAGTACTCTGGAAGCTGGCGTGGAAATTACTAAGGAAGGTTCTTGAAAAGGTAACATACTGCAAAGAAAGGCGACCTAATCAAAGTGGCAGGTTAAAAAACACAATGTGGTCACTATTTTTTAATTCATGCAGGTTCAGGGTGTAGTACACAAGGCTACTAAGGACTACAAGACGATTCTAAGGGGAATGACAATTTGGGGCCGGGATGGAGCGGGGGTGGGGAACAGATGGTGAGAACGCGAAGCACCCACTTAACTTAGAAAGACACCATCCCCAGGGTCTCAGCATTCTGCCCAGGGAGATCCAATGAGGAAAAGGGAGAAATAACGCCGCAGCCCTCAAGGCAGACGCTATCTTCCCCCTCTCCTCTCCCTCCCCTTTAAACCTGAAGGCCCTAGGGGCTGGAAGAGAAATGCCAGGACTGCACCCGCAGACGCCGAAGGAAAACGCAGCCCCCTCCCCCTCAAAACCAGCACTGTTCAGAGCTAGCTCTCTCCCTCGGCGGCCTCGCCTGGCCCCGCGGGTCTCCGGGGCCGGACTCACCCAGGCCGCACGCCCCGGGCCCGCTGCAGCTGTGGCCGGTCGCCGCAAGCCGGGGGACGGCGCGGGGAAGCAGGTAGGGTGTCACAGAACGCCGGGGGCCGTCCCTACCGCCACCGCCCCAGAGCCCGGTGCCCGCAAGCGAGACTTCCCGGTACTCGCCGGCGCAGGCACAGGAAGCACTTTGGGCACCTGAGTGACAGCGCTCTACACCAACCGCTGTCCCGAAACTTAACGCGGCTCCACAAAGCGTAGGAAGACGCTCCATTTCCGTAGGAAATAGGGGTGGGGAGAAAAGGAGCCAATAGGAAAAGCGAGAAGGAGGAGGAGGCGGAGCCTCTGCCGCTACCGCCCTGCAGCGTCTCCCTAGTCGCCCCGGCGCCCCACCCTCGGCGGCCTCGGGCTCCCCGCCCACAGACCTCCCGCAGGCAGCTTCGCGCTGCCCGGAGGCCGGGGGCGCGCGTGACTCTCGTCCGCGGTGCGAGGGGTGTGGCTCCCGCAGCCCAGGACTCTGAAGGGGGACGCCCCGGGCTCGGGGCCACTGCTCTCCCTTTCGCGTTGTCGCAGACGCCCTCCCGGGGGGCGTCCCGCAGCCGGCGCGATGAGTGCCAACGAGGACCAAGAGGTGAGTCCCCCTGGCTGGACGCCCCTTCCCCGCGCCGGCGCGGTGCCTCGGCTCCGAGGGACGGCGGCTGAGCCCCCGGGGCCCTGCTGGGACCCGGCACCGGGACGAGCGGCCCCGCACGTGCCTTCGCCCCTACAGCGGACAGCCTGGCTAGGGTGCCCCAAGTTTACGGGTGTCGTGCGAGGAGAGGCCAAGCACACGGGAACGGGAAAGGTCCGCCTCTGCCTCCGCTCCCGCTGTAGTTTTCAGTTTTGCAAGCCCGGGAGTGGCCCCACGCCTCCTTAATAATAAGGATGCGTGTCCTTGGTAGGCGACCCAGTGCTCTTGCCTCGCCTTAAATCCCCAGTGTTCTTGTTTAGCGCTTGTGTACGGAGTTAAGCTGTTTGGAATCGGATTACCTTAAAATTTTTAAATTTCTTGGCTGGTAGGGAGAGACTTAATTGAGTTAGTTAAATTTCCGGTGGAGGAAAATAATGACACTGTCTCCGATTTCTGGCCTTTCTGTTTGGTGGAAGCATTTATCCATCTGGTAGTTAGTTGTCCAATGGAAATTAAGGCTATTTTGTGCATGCATGTACCACCTGAATCGTAGAGTTTATGCTCAGCTATTTTCTCATGAAATGCCACTTTGACATTGAATCATACGATCAGGGAATGATAACAGGTCATCTCTAGGGGAGCCGTCTAATTGTGTAATGTGTCCAGATGAGGAGAAGAGTTTGCAAAGGTAAAGTGGATGCCCCAGGGCTGCACAGTGAACATGTGGGTAGAATCAGAACTAGAATCCGAGTCTCTTAGATAAGTAATTCACTCTTCATTTAAAATATATTTGTCGAAAGTTAGCACTTTTACAAGATAAATGTGACAGAATCCCTGGAATGGAAGTTACCTTAAAAGGACCCAAAGTCCAACAAGCTGGTGAAATCCCTTCTAAACTGTTCTTGCCAAGTGAGTTTCTAAGTCGAGGCACCAACAAATTCTTACTGTGAAGCATGGAGCCTATCACATATTTCTCGAAGTTTGGCCCATGGAGCACTGCCTTAGAATCATCGGGGTGGTTGTTAGAAAAACAGGTGCCTGCCACTGTATTTCAGATTTACTGAATTGGAATTCCTGGGGGGCCCAAGGATCTCCATTTTAACAATAGAATTCCATTCTTCTTCCACATGACTGATTTTCAGATCTTTGAAATCAGTTTTCTGCCCCGTTTTTCAGATGTCCTCTTCTTATACTAAATGATTCCTTTTAGCTTTTTTCCATATGTCCATTCTTTTTGTTCCTTCATTGTCTTGAAATTGTGTGTCTGTGGACAGATTAAGTTTACTAATGTCCTGTTTTAAAATTGTGACATCACAGTTTTCTACAGTTAGTTACTCTCAATTACAACCCTTTGAGTTTCTGTACAAAGCAATTTGTCTTTCATCCTCTACTTGTATGTTTAGGGATCTAAAGACAAGTTCTTCCACTTACCTATAAAATTTCATCTCGTTAGATGGTTTTTCAAGGGCATTTTGAATTCATATTCAGCCACCAGCATGATTCACTGTTCCATCAAATTGTCATTCATCAATTTCATAAGGCTGCCTTCAATTTTTGTTCCTGACCTACTCGTTAGTTAAAATACAGGAAAGGATTAAGGGCAGGAGGAGTAGCACTATATTTTGAGTAAGGTGGTTCTTTCTAATCTAATCTTGGTTGTTCTTAAATCCAGTTGAACTCCTGTATTTTTTTCACGTGAAGGTAGAAAGAGAAACCCAGGTAGACTGTTCTGTGCCTTTCCTTGACGTACCAATCAAGTTATCCTCTCTAATAAGGGTTGCTTACATTTATCTTGTTTTTCGTATGCTTGCCAAGGCTTACAGACTGCTACTCTTTAGTCCCCTAGGCCCCCACAAACTATTTCTTTAATAATCTATTCTAAAATTTTATCTGTCTTTAGTTTGTAGCTTTCGTGACATGCATCTTTTTTTTTTTTTTTAAAGATTTTTTTTATTTATTTGACAGAGAGAGACACAGCAAGAGAGGGAACACAAGCAGAGGGAGGGGGAGAGCTAGAAGCAGGCTTCCCGCTGAACAGGCAGCCCGATGCGGGGCTCGATCCCAGGACCCTGGGATCATGACCTGAGCCGAAGGCAGACGCTTACCGACTGAGCCACCCAGGCGCCCCTATGACATGCATCTTTTTGAAAACTAAAAAATATACCAAAGTACTATCTTTCTTTGTTTCTCTTCTTCACCTGTTCATCAGTAATCACAACAGTGATTGAGTCTTCTCATTTGTCAGCCCACAGTGTTCTAAGAAATATTTCCAGGCAAGGATTATTCGTTACATTTTCTCTTGCAGTCCTTTTTTCCATCTTGGATAGATCCTTGTCAAACCTTTTTCTAACCATCTTTTTTTTTTTTTTTAAGTTCTTTTTATTATCTGTAAGTGGTTTTTCAAGTTTCATATCATTCTGTGGGAAGGATTACAAATACAAATAATACATGTATACAGTGGGGAATTATTGTGCTTTGTATTTCTCATCTCCAGGTATGACGCTCTCTCTACCCCAGCCTAGGACACATGCTCTGGAGTTGCTTTAAACTGACTTATTTTCCTCCTTGCTAGAAAGGAGAAAATAAGATATTCTTCTCAGGATTAATGTGAGAATTAGTGAGATAGTGCACTGTAAAATGCTTAGGAGTGCCTGGCACGTAATTTTAAAGTAAGTATTAGTATTAATACTGTGTTGCTGCACTCACATATATATGTTATATACACATATTACAAACATCAAAGGCCATCTAGAGTAGCTAAGTTTTACATAGTTGAGTGGGCTTGAATCAGACACTAAAGACCCTCTATTTCTAATCCACTTATACCACTAAACAAAACTCATTTGAATCATTCTTTTTTCAGATGGAACTGGAAGCTCTACGTTCTATTTATGAAGGAGATGAAAGCTTCCGGGAATTAAGTCCAGTGTCATTTCAATACAGGGTAAGATGTGACATGACTAGGAGCCCTTGCCACTTTGCTAGAAAAGATTGAAGGTTGCTAAAGATGCTTTCATTTTTTAAATGATTTTGTTTTATCAATTTAACGGTTTAAATTTGTTACGTCTTTGGATTTTCTGAAGCCTTTGCACGAAAGCTCATCACCGTGACATCAGTTATTTTTAGCTTTTGAAAACAATTCAGAAACTTTGAAAAACTAAAATAAACTTGTTTTTATTGTGTCAGAATTATCAAATGTTAGAAGTGGAAGAAACCTTAGAAATTATATGGTCTTGCCTTCTAACTTTAAAGATAGCGTCTCTCAGTCATAACTTCCCAAGCTTTCCCAGCTGATGCTGATAAATACTAGAATTAAAATCCAGGTCTCTATTCCAAGTCTAGTATTATTCCCCCCCCCCCATGATATAGTCAAGAAAAGTTGGTATTTTCCTAATTCCATATAATCAATATGTGTGAATATTTTTTACATATTCTTTAAAAGGGAGTTTGCTCATAACTGTTCTCAACATGAAACAGTACCAGTATCTTGTTTTGTAAATAAATAACATAAAGCATTTTTCCAGATGATTATAAGTAGTAGTGGTGTGAGAAAGTTTTTTTGTATGAGACTTAGTTATTTACATCATCATTTAAAATAAATTATGTGATAAGTGATCCTTATGTGTCATTATTATAGACTGTTACAGAAGATGAATTCTTTATCATTGCTTTCTTTAGAGACTCTCTTCTCTGTTTAGCTCCTCTCAATTCCCTTTCAAGCTCAACAGTCTTTACACTACTCCATGGATAGAACAATAAAAAAACTTAATGGCCAAGGTTAACACTGGGGTTAAGTCCTAGGCCCTTTGATTTGAATCCAGCTGCCTCCCCAGACTTCCCCAAACACTGCCACTTACCCCTTACCAAGTGGGAGATTGAGAACTAAGTCCTACAGGAGGGATACTCTGCTGTGACTGCAGGATGGATTTCAAGGGTATAAAACGTGAGGTTTGGAAAGCTTGTTTGTGTTGAGAGCCAGAGGACCTAGGGTACAGGTCTGCCTGGATCCTGGTCAGACCCCTCAGTTCCTCTTTAGCAGACTGGTTTGGTAACCTCCTGAACGATTCTCCCCTTTCAGTTCGGTCGGAAGCTTCCCCCCACACCTCACCAGTAGTCCTCCTGCAGACGTCTAGGTGGTTCTCTGAAACACGTAATTAGTTACCCCATTCCTTCGTTTAGAAGGGTTTCCCCATGGGTTTCTCCTGCCTATAGAATAGGGATTAAATTCCTTAGCTTGACACTCAAGGCCCTTCTGTTTGATTCAGATTGCCTCTCCAGACTTTCCCAGCCACTACCATTCATGAGACACAGTAGCCTGTGGAACATTTCCCTGCATTTTTTTAAGATTTTATTTATTTGACACACAGAGAGCGACAGCAAGAGGGGGAACACAAGCAGGGGGAGTGGGAGGGAGAGGGAGAAGCAGGCTCCCCGCCGAGCAGGGAGCCTGATGTGGGGCTCGATCCCAGGACCCCGGGATCATGACCTGAGCTGAAGGCAGACGC